CAGGCCAGTAAATGGTCATTATGCGTGGGTGGTGTGGTGGACAACTACAGCCGTCTACAGCCTCGCGCCTCTGTCGTAGCCTTGGAAAATCCAACATCTCAAATGTTTTTACTTATAAAATGCTACAAAAATGACAGAAATTAAAATTAAAACTAGAGAAATTAATAAGGCGGGATGATAAATAGCTAGCCTAGCATAGAAAAACATGAATTAGTGTGTTAAAAGTATATTTATTTTTCGACATAGTCTCCTTGAAGCGCTATGCCCTTCATCCATCTATGCTCTAAAGCCTTGATGCCATCCCTGAAGTGGTTTTCTTCAAGCCCTTCAAAATAACTGTCCACGGCAGACATCACCTCGCTATTATTTTCAAATCTTTATCCACCTAAAAAATTTTTGAGCTTAGGGAATAGATGAAAGTCAGATGGTGCCAGATCAGGAGAATAAACTGGGTGTGATAGCAAATCATAATTTAATTCTTTGAATTTCGCCATCGCAGTGATGCACGTGTGAACGCGCGCATTATCCTGATGAAAGATTATTTTTTTTTTAGGCCGGGTCTTTTTTCACGAATACACACTTGTAATTTATTCAGTAGATCAGCATAATATTCGCCATTTATGTTTTGTCCTTTTGGAAGGTAATAATCAATCATCAATATACCCTTCGAATCCCAAAATATTGATGCCATGACTTTCCCCGCTGATTTCACGGCTTTTGCTTTTTTGGAGCCGGGGATCCTTTTTCCGTCCATTGTTTAGACTGAATTTTTGATTCAGGTATATAGTGGTGAACGGTTTGTTACTACAGACGAGACTTGGGTTCACCACTATATACCTGAATCAAAAATTCAGTCTAAACAATGGACGGAAAAAGGATCCCCGAGATATCTCGGAAAGTTTCAATCTTCGGTCAGCTAAAACTGCATCATGAATTTTGATCACAGATTCTGGAGTAGTGGCACTTTTTGGACGTCCTGGGTTGCGACCGCCTAACTCATGGACGTAGCCGTAGTCGTAGCTATAACCTATGCTTTATCGATATTTCTTGTGAATCTGTTTATATTCTTTTAAAATTAATTGTCTTTTTTTATTTATATATTTTATCAAACACTTTGGTTTGTTTTTCTTTTCGAAATAGCATTGTTTGTATCAATTCGACATTTTGTAAATTTCGTTTAACTTTAATAATTCAGCAAACAAAAACAACTAAAAGCATTGATTAAATATGTAAATAATAAAAAATGATTAATTTTAAAACAATGTCAAGAGATTCATATGTAAAACCTATAAAGCGTAGGTTATAGCTACGACTACGGCTACGTCCATGAGTTAGGCGGTCGCACCCCTGGACTATGTTCATCTATGGTGCTGGTACGGCCACCCAATTTTTTATGGTCGCATATGAAGGAGAATTTTCTCCCAAAACATCGTTCATCTCTGAAAAAATCTCTCCACCTTTTAATGCTTTTAAATGCAAAAACTTTATCACAGCTCGTAGCTCAATTTTATCCATTTTGCAGAAAAAACAAAAGAATGCTTTTTGAAATGTCAATATTTTAAAGAAAAACTATACGATCGATTTGAAATTTGGAACACTGGCAGCTAATGAACCAATGAGTAAAATACTAAGGAGATTTTATATCGTTATTATACAAAATATGGCTATTTATCATCCCGCCTACGTACCTTTTTTTATTACACCGTTTTGGAGGTCTTCGCAAAACGTTCCATGCATCCTTTGTTCTTTTTCCTATAAACTGTCCGTTACTCACTTCTCTGGCGGTATCAAATAGCCGCTTCGAGCGTGCGTGATTCCTCGTTTTATTCGGCGGTGATACTCGAACCACACATTAAAAATCATGCAAATTACAAACATTAGTTTATAACATCCTCGTAACTCTACGAATACTCTAACGAATTAACATGACACCTGAAGCCCTATTCTATTTCTTCGAAAACTCACTTTCGTCTATACTCAAAATGCTAATACGTCTCCAAAGAAACGCATCTTTCGATAATTTATGATGCAACGGAGGTAGGAGCTGACACTGCCTCTGATGCACGGGTAAACTACACGGGTGTAATTTTAACCAATTAAGATATAAGATTCGAAGTTTTCCGAATTTTCGTTCCAGAACACAAATAGAATAGACTGTCAGGTGTCATGTTAATTCGTCCGACTTATAAGTAACAGAAAGAAATTTCAGATATTTACAGCGAAAGATACGATGCTGCCACAAACAGCGCGTTACGGGACTGCGCGCGGATGTGCAATGTGGTGAATAGTTACCGAGAGCGGTTCGAGAGGTTCGTGTCGCCACTGCTGGCACTCAGGGTAGTGCAGGTCACGATGTACCTCTGCATGCTGCTGTATTCTGCGACCCTGGTGAGAATTACCCTTAGGCAATAGCCAAGCATTTGTTCAATGAGAATCTTTCTATATTCGTATCTTCATGCCGGTAAAACGCCCATAAAACGTTTATTCAACAATCACAGCACAAATCTTGTGGTATTTAAATGCTTTTATTTTTAATCTTACTCTTTGTTTTCTAGAAATTTGACATGGTCACTGTGGAATATGTAGGAGCCGTCGCTTTGGATACGTTTGTCTACTGCTATTATGGAAATCAAATAATTATACAGGCTAGTAAAAAAAATTAAAGGATAAATTAGAATTAGGTATATTATATATTAGTATTAAGTTCGGGCGGGTTCTTTATGAAAGACAAGAATCTTTATTCTTTTAATAATTGTAAACCTACAAATCAATACAGGGTACTACAGTTACATGTAAATGTAAATCTTAAAAATAAAATAACCAATCACCTGTAGGTACGCACAACTCGTAATTTCACAAATTTTGGCCACTTAATAAAATAAAAGCTCTATGTTCGCGCGATGGGTGACCGAAAATTTATTACCACGACCATCTCAGTGGTTTGAAAGACACGTCAAGCCGTTGGTTCCCGCATATGCAGTCGTTAATATTCACCGATTAGAACTGGGGTTGTGCTGTGACTTATGTCTAACCTGACCAGACGTCCCGTTTTTGGTTGCCTGTCCTGGTGTCCCTGAAGGTAACCGCGAGACGCAAAAATATCCCGTTTTGAGAACGAGGAGAAAATGTAGTTGGTCGCACACTAGTGGTTGCCTCCGAAGTGAAGATGCTAGCTAACGTTGTCCCGTTTCGATCCAAAGATAATATGGTCACGTTAATCATGTGGCACATTCTTCCTATTATTTATTCCCCATTCCTAGGGAATGCGTGTGCGCCAGCAGTGGGGATTTTAAAACTAATCGAAAGGACAACAATTCTTTGTAGAGAAACTATTAAAATCTTACCCTTTTTCATACAGGACAACCGTAAAAATGTACAATTTTCTTTTGTTAGGCGGATCGTGTTACGACTGCCGCGTATCAGAGTGGATGGCCAACGATGGGTGTGCGCTCGCGCAGATTATTACTCAACATACTGCTGTCCAACAGACGTCCGGTCGCGGTGCGAGCTGGATACTTTCTACCCATGAATCTACACACATTCCTTGTGGTAATACTTTTGTTTTGGTCAACTACGGCATTCAGTAGTCCTACCTAACTCAAAGCTAAAGATGTAGCTATAAAATCGATTTTTTTATCAACAACAAATATCTTATCTGTTTTTTTTATATTTGACTAAATTAAAATATTTGGATTAAATTCTAATATTTATTAAATTATTTTTGGCAATGGCACGAGTTAGGCGGGATATCTCTAATTTTAACGCGAAAATTATCTAGTACCTTATTATCTTGCATTGCTCAGAGCCCAAGTAGGTAACTCATGAGTAATTTGTGCCCAAATTAAGCAGCTTTTTAGCACTTGTATTATGAAATCTGAAACAAAGAAGGTACCATAACACCTAGACCCGAGACACAAAACAGAAAAGTTCATTTTCCCTTAGACTCGACTGGGATTCGAAACCGGGAACTTACAAGATAGTGACATCTTTAATCAGGCACCTAATTGACCGTTGTACAAACATCCATTATAATTGACATTGGTTTAACCGGCATTACTGATACAAATTTAAAAATAAGAGCATTTATACGACATACGTCCATTAAAATTTTCATTAGGTAAAGCGATATTACTTATACAAATTTGAAATTCATTAGAGCTTAAATACGTCATTAAACGTTATTGGACATTTGTGCAACTGACCGTATTTGCTCTAAAGTTGTCATTAAAGCTTAACGGACGTTTGTGCAACTGGGTGCGAGACACGGCCACGGAAGTCTTCACTTGTACAATAGCCCGCGGGTGTTTTTGTTTTATATATATTTTTTTTCATATTTCAGATTATAAAGACGTCCTTTTCATATTACACATTGTTAGTGAACGTCAACGAAAAGTGATATGTGTATTTGTATTTCATAGTAAAATTTCACTCTGATTTCATGTTTTTCTGCGTTTGATTGTAAACCCACCAAATCGAGAATTGTTTTAATATATGAAAAAACATATGTTCAGCCAATTCTATTTCTAGCTCACGATAGAACCTTTTCATAGTACTAAATTAATTTCAATGTTAATTTCTTTATATAGATACAGTTATAGAACGGCTTATTTTTTGAAAATGTCATTACATCTGTTAAGATCTGGTAAGTTCTTTCTCGTTCGTCTTATCCGCCAAAACGTGTCTTGAACGAGTGGTAGGGGAAAAAAATTTGATACGATTCAAAAGTCCATAAGATTCTTAAGAATGAGAGTAAATTGACTTGGAAAAAAATTTGATACGATTCAAAAGTCCATAAGATTCTTAAGAATGAGACTAAATTGACTTTGAATGTCCTTAATAACATACACAAAATGTTAATATCTAAATATCATTAAAATACATACGGTTGCTTTTAAACTCTAACTTCAACCCGTTAAGATTTAAAATCGTATGGAGAAATTTGACAGATTTGTATAACACTGTACATATGTAATGAAAGATAAATAAAACATCCAAATATTCAGAAAGTATTTTATTTACGAAATCAATATACAATAATCTTGTTCATACAATTAATAATCATCATTATGTGTATGACCGCGGCCGTCGGCCACTGTACATATGTAGGTAGCGATCGTCTAACTAAAGATCACCTCTTGCGTCTCACCGCTGCGATATTATTCCTCTCTGATTCGACATTTTTAATCTTAATTTGGCAACTAATGGCGTTGAAGACAAAACAAAAGTCCGAATGTATACCTTACTCGTCTGTACTGATTATAACTTACATATAAGTCGCATAAGGTTCAAAATCGCTTAGGTAATTAAGCAAATTACATGGTGACTATCCTACGCCCGGCCTACTACGGGGACGGTGTTTTTTTTTTACAATTATTTTGTTCTCATACAACACACTACGCATCGTTTACAATATTTTATGCTTACTACTTTACTTACTATAAAGAGGAGTTTTTTAATTTACTTCCAATATTATCAATTACAATTTTCTGTCATTATACTAATAAATTGCGCGGTTTTAACATTAAACGTGAACTTTGTAACGGCACTTCTTCAATTTGTCAATTTTATCGATAATCGTAGATCAATCGTTGCGTAATGTCCCACCTCTAATGTTGAAACCGCACTCTCTTACATTTAGAACTTGTTTGGATATCGAATGCAACACAAGCATACAGAAGAGCAAACGTACATTACACAGACAGGACACGCTCACATTCCAGTTATATTTTATATTTATTTTTTGCAGCATTCTTAGCATTCATCCTTATTTATATGCTCAAAGGGTACCCCGGAGCTGAAACTGTCACTTAAAAAAAATTTAAGATAAAAAATATAATAATTACTACATGCAACACTGGCAGTTTAAACTTACAATAAAAATGGCTGAAATCGACGTTGGGAATGTGACAGATGTTGTGTTTAAATAGACTTGAGACTTATATAAATAAGAGTACTGTTTTATATAAACAAATAATGTTATACTGAGCTGTCTCTTAAATTCAATTAAACGAAAAGTAAACAGCTTCGCAAGTTACGTTATCAATACATAAATTCTATACAGAGTGTAAGTTATCGAGAAAGACGAATAGAATACACAGTACCCATAAACGAACTATTTTGTAGTATTTTTTATTCTGCCACATATTGAGCAGGTGTCATCAAAAAATATCGACACAATATATCCAATTTACAATCGTTATATGTTATCGAAACTGCCACAAGGAATAGTTGTTCCAACAAACCTCTGTCACATCCAATCTTAGCCCATATGCGACTAGAACGTCGCCTAAAAACCACGGTGTTTTGTTTACAAAGATGATCAAATTTGCATGTGAACGCCGCGCACTCTTGTCGTAAAGGTGCAATCACACGGGCAACCAATATTAAAGACTCCAAAGTCGCATTTGAGTTCCCACTATTCATAAATTCCGGATCTAATTTAATAATAATTATTCTAAAATGTTCAGTTGCAAAATTATCAAGGAAATAATGAAATTTTACATTAATAATTACGCGACTTAATTTGTACTCGAAGTCGAAATTAAGTATAGCCCGTATAAATAGCACCTGAACATAATTGTCCAGCAATTGTTACAGTGAGCGGCGGCCGCGAACCACGAGAGTGAGAGAGAGCGGCAATCGCCATCGAATAATAATACTAGATTGCGAAAAAAAATTTCATCATCATAATTTATAAAATCATACAAAAATCACGTCCGTTTACATTTAAAAATAAAAATGAATACAGAAGCGACCCTTTAACGCAGCGCGGCCGAAGTTACATCACTAGCGACATATCGATAAAATCAAGGACGTCGCGGCGTCGTCGTTTCTATGCTGCAGTGTTGCCACACGTCAGAAAAAGCTACTAATTTAAGCGGAAAGCTTTATCTGTCAAGACTTTTTTTTTAAATAAATTCACTGTTAAGCCTCGCTGGTTATAGAGTCGTAGATGCTAAAACATAGCATTATATATTCATGGATAAGGTTTATGGAGTTTTGGTATGTTTTAGCGTACAAACTGGGTACGGCTGGGTACAAAAGTATGGTAGGTTGTGTGGTGCTTAGTTATGGGTTTCCATGCAAGTCGTTGAAGTCTCTCAACTCGACGCAGCGGAACGGAGCCACTAACTGTGTGTCGGAGGATCGGGAACAAAACGTTTACACATTAATCACGGCACAATCGTCCTCGAACAATAACAACTCGCTTGTATACGGTTCTAATTTATTAATAGATAATTAGATAATAGAAAATTATTGAAAAATTGCAACGGTACACGAATGACTCGAGCCTCGAGAACTACAGAAATTGCACATTATTTTAGCAGCATTATGAATCATTTAGAATAATACACTTTGATTTCCTAACGATTCAGTATAAAATGTGTTGGATATGGAATTTTAGTAAATAATAATAGCCGTTTTATTTCAAAAGATATCTATGTCATAGACTGGAAATTATTTTTTTAACATTACAGCTCATTTTGTATATGACCAATTCTTCCGGTAACTATCAAGTAGTTAATTTAAAACATTTCATAATCAAATTAATAAATTAGAACCGTATAGAATCCTATAGTATGTATGAGGGTGTAAGATTGAGTTGCATCTTGGAAATTAGGATATTCTTTTGTCGTCACCCTATTTTTTCAGTTATTTAAAACCACTATTTTCTAGAGCGAGACACGTTATCTTTCTCGCTCTAGCAAGCGATAGAAAAGGATAACATGCTGGCAGATACAGCTCAACCCTAATTACATATATATTTTGTGCTAGGCGATAAAAGCTTTGCCAAAAACATGTTTTTTATTATACTAAGTACATTATAACTCTCAATCAATTTACAAAAGCGATTCTTAAATAAACCAAAGATCTAAGTGAGTGAAAGAGATAGCATGTATCACAATCACAGTTAAACTAGTCGACGGGATTGCTGTTGGATCATTTTACCTAATATTGCTATTAATATGTGTTGAGATTAGTGATGTGATGTGATGAAATCACTCGTTTCAAAAACAATGCAAAGTTAAAGGCTTGATATTTGTTAGTGAATTTGCATTCCAACTGTTGTACAAAATCACAAACCTTTCAAAGCAACTGCTTCAGATGTCTCTGAAGTACAAGAAACAAAATATATATATTTTTTAAATATTAAACCATCAATCTATGCCACACATTAAAATTTGTATCATACATATTTACTTGTGGAAAAGTAAAATTTTTCGTTGATTTCATTATTTTTTTTATGAACTTCCAATTCTTATTTTAGCTTTGGTGAATGAGAGAGAGACAAATCACTGACAATATTTTGTGGAAAACGAATAGATGGGGCGGGCACATACTGTTTGTATAACTAGAGGATTATTGTGAACAAATAAAATAGCAGAAATATAAAAGGATTAAGATGTGTATTTACTAGAAGACGTAAGCCCTAGGCTTATATTTCTAAACATAGTCGATTATGTTATGTGATGTAACCAAATTTTTTATATAATTCTCTAAAAATAGCTCTTATCTCGATGGAACTGAGGTATAGTTTCGAGTAACATTGTAAAATATCTGAATAACGCGATATTTATCGCATCCATACTATTTTTACTAATGGACGGAGTTATTCATGAAGAGAAAGTGTATAAATTTATTGAAGTTCTATTACTAGATTGTCATGTACGCGAAAAAACAATATACAAAATCCGACCACGTATCGAGAGTTATATGTAGCGGGACCTTCGACACCTAGTGACTACAATTTTTTAAAAAACTACAACCTTATTATCATTCCCATAAAAGTCAATTTTACATTATTATTTTGTAGTTGCTATATGTGTTAAACATATTTGAACAATGTAGTGTATGTGCTTAAAATTAAATGGTAAACGATATGCAACGAGTTGGTTTGCAGGCGTAGAGGTCAATAAATCTATCTAGTACGTGGTCGAGTGTGGTCCGTAATCTGTGATGTTTTGTTGTCCAATTGTTAGCCCTTTATTATTTAATACTGAACGCAAGGAAGTGTTTCGTCTGTTTGAGCATGGAGTGTCATCTCTATACGAGTTTTATACGAGGGTAGAGTGTCACCTTTATACGAGTGTAGTGTCACTTTCACATGAGTGTAGAGTGTCACTTTTAAACGAGTGTAGTGTCACTTTCATATGAGTGTAGAGTGTCACCTTTAAACGAGTGTAGTGTCACCTTTATACGAGGGTAGAGTGTCACCTATATACGAGGGTAGAGTGTCACCTTTATACGAGTGTAGTGTCACATTTATACGAGTGTAAAGTGTCGTCTATATACAAGTGTTGAGTGTCGTCGTTGTATAAGTGCAGGATGTCGCCTGTATGTTAGTGTTGAGTATAGTTTCTGTATGACATACAGTACTGTTGATGGGTGATGTACACACGACTGCACGTCAGGTTACCACAATGTGTCAAATTTATGCAATGGATTTTAACCTGTACCAGCAATATACTATGGTTTAAAATGAAACGGGAACTTTGACAGTTTTGTATAGTCTGACGTGCAGTGCAATATCAACGATGTACGAGTATATATAGTGTCGACTCAGCAGGCCCCAAGTATAATTGAACAGATCACTTTTGCAATTTACACAACAACCGAATACCGTTCTGTGCGAGAGTGAATTTGATTAAGGACCGCGTCGCCTCAGCGGGCGTGTACAGTGTGCGAGCGGGAGGTGTGGATGTTTGCGTGTGGTGTTGTCTCACTCACTTCTTCTTGTTCTTGGGCTGCGCGCGCGGCGGCGTGTTGGGGCGGCCCATGTTCAGGCCCGAGTAGAGCTTGCGCTTGTCCGCCGGCTTCAGGATCTGGAACGAGCACATCAGCGTCTCGTCCACCGACATCAGCGCACCTGCGGACGGAAGACATTGGATACGATTTAATCTTACAAACCCTCCATGATCACAAAACTTAACAGATAAATGTACATATGAATTTTATTTAATCATGGATTGCAGAAATCAGCAATTTTCGGAATTAATCTTCAGATGGCTGTCAGATTTTATGTTCCAGGTATTTCTGAAAGCGTCGTTGATGGAGACTAAATCTGCAGTCGTTAGGACCCACCACAGTTAGGTCACATATAGTGGATATTGACCTGGTTTTAATGGATATTACTGGGACTCTGAAAAGTATAAAGCACTGATAGGCTTATGTATCACAATCACAGTTATAATGACATATAAAACTGAACTGAGAGCAACGTTAAGATTCAGCACCATATAACATATAAAATAAAAATCAATAATGGCAGATTGTCCAGGCTACATACAACAGCGCACTGTACAAAAAAAATGCCCAAAGACTTGATTCGCGATAACAAAATGGAAAAGATTGTAAACTTCAAAACTTACCTGCGTTATCAAATTCGCCGCAGTAGTTGGGCGCTGAAAACAGTGTGACCAATTGCCGCTTGGCGAAGAACTCGTAACCGTCCTCCACTACCTGGTGTGCGCGGCAGATCAGGTCAAACTCGTGCTTCGATAAGAACTTGCCGACCACCTGTAACAGATGCACATTATTGCTAACCGACATAAACATATATAAGACATTGCTGTTAAAATAAATAAGCTGTTAATGATCAAAAGTCGTTCATTCCCAATGTAACTTAAGGTCTATCCGCAACGAAATTTCTAGTTTAAAATTGAGAATCGTTCTTATAATTTTGCTAAAATCAAATCGGTGAAGATTATCTGTGCATGATAGGCAGTGACAGAACATCCCTCCGATGCATCATAATCGACAATTGCGTTTCTGAGAAACAGAGTAGACCTTCTGAATGTGAGCTTAAAAACACAAATACATATTTGATTGACCCTACGAAACTCTTCTCATGCTCTGTGATACTGGACTTTGAGTTACATGCGATTTATGATCGTATTCACAAATACTGACCTCAGTGCCGAAGGTGAAGCTGACGCCGCGGTCGTTCTCGCCCCAACCGGCGGTGTCTTTGTCCGGATCTGACCACAGCAGGTCGCACAGCAGCCCCTGGTCGGGCACGTCTGTGGGCCGCATGATCCGCCGGATCTGTTCCATCGCTTGGAGGTCCGGTGACAGACCACCATGACAGCAGAAGATCTTTTCATCCACTAAAACAATTGAAAATTAAACTTAAATCAATGGTTCAAAGATAGACCACCGTGACAGTAATCTTTTCACCCACGACCCAACCCAACCTTTAAACAGAGATAAAGAATATCGGGTTTACACATAAAAACGGATTTGTTGATGTTTTAAAAGTATTTGTTAATGTCAAATTTAAAGAATGTAAAAAAAAAAAAATATTTTATATAAAGTCTTGGATTGATCTAAGAATTAAACAAATGTGGTCCAGAAATGTAAAAAAATCGACAAGAATGCAGACAATCTGACTCATCAGACTACAATTAACGCATCAATCGCACATGTGCTCTCTCTGCCGTTTTAGGTGGAGCGATAACCTCAGGTGTATCTGCTGTTTACGAGGCGCCAGTTCGTGATAAATTCTTCGAGAATGTTCTGGACAATTTCTAAGAAAGTTATTTTAATTGTGTACTACCTCTTAATGAGAAACTCCATTGAGAATATTAAGTGGCATACTTGTCTCGTTTAACTAAATGTAGCCCTAGTAGGAATTTTGATAAAAATTACCAAATAAATTTAAACTCCTGACATACTAAGGGCAAACATAAGGGTAAAATCGATAAGCTGACTTCTTCGAAATTGAATTGACACAGTTAATAGAGACAATCAAGATGAATAATTGGGATGGCAGTTGAATGGATGCTCCAGAGGAAATTGGTTTGCGAGTTGGCGTAATAACTAGAAATACCTTTTGTCTGTGATTTCGCTGGGGGCGTACGCTTTATTTTATTACGATTTACAATATACGCAAAATTCAGCAACAACAGCTATAGAAAATACGATCTAAATGCCGCAATCTACATATTAATTGTTAGAAGAAAGTCAGATTTCTTCAATTCAATACGATCTGTAAAAGATTTAGTTATTCTTAGGAAGTTAGTATTTCAAGAAGTTTTGTTTACAATATATTTTTTCGGGAAATATAATATACCCTTAGAATAATCTTATAATACGCAAACATGAATCAACTATTTTCTTTAAAAATGAATGAACTATAAAGGAATATTTACACACATACATTTTCAAAGTACGTTTGTGTTAATACTAGTAAAAATGCGTCTGTATTAAAAAGCTACTTCAATAACCGACTCAACGTTGGTGTCTGATGGCAACCGTCCAAGACAGCTGATTCACCTGTTTCCGATGGAGAATTTATCGTGATAGAATGGATAAATATCATTGAATTTCTGCCAGTTCAAGGTAAAAAAAAATATTGTTTAGAGGATCGATTTAAAGAAATCAATAACTATTATTAAAACATGCTCTGCATTGCGTTCTCCAGGTACCAGACTTTGGAAACGAAAAAGCCTATTTCATTTGTCAAAATTATGTTTGACAATGTGAACAAAGACATGTCACATTAAAAATATATCGTTTTAATAGTTTACTCACACAATAGGTATTTCGATACAAACAAACGTTATCATTTCAAGCAAATCCATTCTATCACATATCATACGATAAGATATATCGATAACAAGCATAACAGATATAGAATCGCGAGTTCCAAGTTCAGTATAAACATCTAAAACTTTTTCATCCTTTTTATACAATTGGATACTATCTCGGGTGAACTTGATAAAGATCGGTACTCCTGGATGAATCGGTACTCCTATGTCATCGATACTTTTGATTCGATAGTGTGTACTGGTATCGAATCGATGCATATCATGATATAGTTACCGCATTTACACGCAATGAACGGATAAAAAAAAGAAGAATAAGGTACATGCAATAAATTAGATATATTTTACATGTTCATGATAAGGGATTCGAGTACTCATAAGTATCGATCCTTTCATAATGTGGAATTGATACTAATATTGTGTACTTGTATAAAAAAAAAATACTGGTATTGATTAATTCATTCCTATAAATATGATAGAATTTGAGTGGTGATGCCTCCTTGTGACGTTAGAATTGTTATTGCGTTCCGATCTTTCTAAACTTTTCTATGTATCGTCCCCGGGAGACTATATGAAAATTTATATCTCAACATAGAGTGCATATCGAGGATATTATTCTTATTATTACTGTGATGATAAAGGAAACAATTCTGATGTAGAATTGTTGTATCTACAACCAAACATTGGTTTGTTTTGCAATCGGATCAGATTTGTTCTCTATTGTCTCTGGTCTGTTATTTATCGTTTGTCTAATACACACTTATCCGAACGTCATTCAGATTTTGTACAAGCAGTTTACAAATTACTTTACATAACAAAGCGTGTTGTAATGTTTTGGCCAATCGAAATCCGTTTGTGCGATGACGTAATCACTACTACTACTAGTCCTCAAGATCAATACAATACACAATGCATGCGTTAGCGCCGATGCCACGTGCAGAAAACCACGTGTCGCCCACGCCAAACGACACGTGAGTTACAATGATCTCTAATTAGATACACATAATGTCTATTATGGGAAATGTAGTATTATTTGATTAGTCAGGAGGAACAAATTAAGACAATCGAAGATGAAAACAGTAGGCAACAGTTTGCGATGTATTCCTCGCATTGGGAGACATTTGATCGTACGTCAGGTTGGGATACTGGTTTGCTACCGTGTATATCAAACTTTATATTTCTACGACCATTACCAATGTTATTTTATTGCTAATGTACAAAAATGTAACATAAACCAACATACAATAGGAATCCAAGAATAGCTACAGTGCATTTCATCATATACAAGCAAGCAATCCACGGAATGGAGGTATAAAAAACGAGGCCGCCTTGAATAAATAAACCTCAAGCGACTTCAGTATGACGCAAGCGGGAGAGTTTCATATGCGGTGTTCCTTCCACAGTGACGTCACAGGAACTTGTGCCAGGATATAAACGGACCATTAAATAAGTAATTATAAGAGACCGAAAATAACGTGTTTATATCCATGTGCTCCTTTGCATTAAATAATATAAAAATAGAATACATCAAACGTAAAAATCAGTAGCAAAATTACATAAACATTGATCAAAATAGCAACTAAAGTAACAAGTAAATGAGAAAACCAAGTCTCGTTTAGGGCTACTGTAGATCAATTCGTAGAGACGCGGCCGGTAAGCGAACCAGCACATTACGGGTTCAATCAAGCTGCTGGCCAGGGCCCTACCTAAGGGGTGACAATCTGGGGAAACGCCAACGACAAAATGAGAAACAAGAAGAAAACTGGGAGCACCGGACGCTTGGACTAACGCACTAAAAACAGAATCAAGTTTTGTTCAAAAGCAAAGCTTAGTATGACTTGAGTCCTCATGCTACGAGAGATGGTAAAATAACATTTTCATAGCTTACCACTCTTATAATTAAATATATTTAATGTCCCATATTGAGATTACCACATCCATGATTTATATCTGATTGTTGTTTGTTAGTATAAATTATTTTTGCCTGGACTGCTAAATAGCTGGATTGGGCTTCGCCGAACAATTGCCTTTTTATGTATTTTTTTATACAATTAATATCAAATTAGTGTTATTAATATAAAATTTAACAAATATAGTAACACGATCTTCGCGCCCGAGTGACTAATATTTACTTCCTTATTTATTTACATATAGGACATTGAAGATGGCTCTTAATTGATATTTTATTTCCGTTTTAAATTTAAATGGCGTGTTGAATCAATTTTGTTAACGTAAGTACAAGTTTGAGAAATTTAAACGGGCTCGTTTATTAAATGAATTAATTTGGGGAATTTATAGAAGTACATGTTTACGAAGGAAAGTTCATTAGATAAATTACCTACATCAAAGTTTACTATAAAAAATAGATATAACCAATTAGTCACATTAATTACGTGGCGTAATTAAATTAGTCGATAAACATTGACTAAGTAAATTGAATTTGATAGATACACAGCTCTTTATCATCATTCTTCGAGTTTTTTACAACAACATCAAATGAAACTTGAGTTTCGAGCTTGTTGTCACATCATATTACAAATTTTACTTTAAACGTATGAACAACGATATAAAAAAATACACGTAATGATAATAACATAATTTTACGCCTAATTTATTTTACTGAAAAAACATCTTGACACAATAAAACGACAAATCTGCTTATAATAAGTGATTTCTAGTTAAGCTATACCTTATTCTAGGTTAGTGGTTAGTTAGTAAACGGATAGAATTGTGCAGTGCAGTGAATCAAAAGCAGGACATCCACTTTCGGGTGTATTCAGATTTGTCCTAGTTCTTAGGGCGCCGGGTATACAAAACTGTCCGGTGTTGATATTATTTTTTTCGAAGTAATGCTCTTGACTAAATCTTTAATTTGGCGCAATATTTATCGATCAGAGGTAATTTCATCATTAAATCAATACTTTCTTACTCCATCATACATAAAACCATATGCCCTTTTTGTTACGTGCAAACTGTCACTTCTATCACGTGTCCATGTTGTCCATTCTAATAGAATCTGTTCTTTCTCAATGTTGCTATTGAATATTTTGTCCTAGTTTAAAATCGGCAACCCTGGCCAAGAGTAACATCAAGACATGCCCCTCATCCAACACTTTCGCGACAATGGCACTCGTAATTAACGAAAGAGGGCGAGAACACGTACGTATAGTCTGAAAGATCTTCGCTTAAAATTTATGCCTTAAATGAATTCGTGAAATGGCAAATGGATTCCAATTAAGTTTTTGATAAGAATAAAGCTAAAAGAGAGTTGTTATTAAAACATTAGTTTATTTCCCAATTTATACAATTATTTATATAGGTGAACGTTGCCGATCTTTCTAGACTGTTTTCCTTTTTTTATTTTAATATATGATTTCGTAGCAATGAAGATTTTGCGGTGTTAGAAAAAGTTAGATATATACCTACATGTAAATCCAGACAGGTCAATGTTGTAAGGTACAGTTTAAATGCCGAGTCGCCTCCTGCATTGCGGTACTGTTGAGGCCTAGTATAATACGAACAGAACAAGAAATAGTTTTTACATCTCTCATATTTGATAA